GTCGTCGTCGCTGCCATCATTCCTTTTAGACTCTCTTCTACTACCCACCTATCGCGCGACGATACTCTCTCATTAAAATTCATAAGGCATCGTCCTGCCATTCCCATTTTGGCGCCTGCGCCGAATCAGTCCTACTAGGTATTATATATTTACAGGTTGCCCCCTCTCAGCACACTTAAATCCATCTATATCCCATCATCATCGGAATTCCCTTCTTATTCCCGCGCAGATGATGGACGCACTTCCTGCCGCTGGTCTGACATCGTCTGCATCCGCGCGGTCCATCCGTCCCGATGGAGCCTGATTCTCGTGCGTGTGTGTGTGTGTGTGCGGTTTTCGCCTCGAGGCTCGTGGTCATGCGTGCTTCGACACACGTGTCCCGGACGACCAAACTCACAGCCTCAATGCCCTTGTGATCCTAGTAGTAGGATTACGGCAAGTCGATTTGTCAATACAGTCGCATAAGATTGACTCGATCGCCCGCCGGTCCATCCTAAGCGTGCTCCCCAATCCTTCCAGGCTTCAGCAGTCTTCCGCGTTACCACCTTCTCCCGTTCACCCTCCACCCTCCTGCACCGCCACCCTTCGCCACCCTCCACGCGCTCTGGCTGCATCAGCATGTCAATGCGTACACGCGTGCAATCAGCCCTGTAATGGCGGCGACGGGTCCGTCAGGGTTCGCAGCCTCCGAGCCTGAAACTTCATCTTGTCTTGAGAGGAATCGAGGCCGCCGGGGGCAAAACTTAAGTGTTCCTGTAAATTATCTTTTCTCCCGAGGAGTGAGAAAGAAAGACAAAAGAAGTGTGGAGGACATGCTCAAACTGCTTGAATGACATAGTTAGGAATTCTTTAGTAAATTCCTCTGGTCCAGAGCCGTGCTGAATTCTGCCTAGAATGTAATCTGTATAACGAGACACGGAGAATATGCAGAAAGACGAGGGAAGAAAAGTGGTCCATCCCTTAAAAATAATAACGATAGGATGTGGGTTGTGCAGGTATGGGCAGCAGAGATGAGATATGCTCTCAACCCTCAGTAAGTAAAATAAGGAAATTACAGTATTCTTGTATACTCGCCTTACACACAAAAATTCCTCGATAAAGCTTGTCATTCGATCGTTCAAGGGCGTCGCGACGCCTTAGTGCCCCGAAATCCCGGAAAATTGAATAAAATTAGATTTATGCCAAGAACCTAATGAATATCCGCGCTCTCCCACAAATCTTCGCGTCTCCTCTCAACCTCTCGTTCCCTCATCTGAACTCCATGTTTTAACTCTGACGTCACCCTCTCCTCGTTCTTCCTTATATTGTTTTTCCTTTCCCGTCGACTCGCTTGTCATCTGAACCAGCGCAGATACGCTGAGTGCAAATCGCTGTGTCGTATCTACTATTGACTCAAATAATTCCCAATGCCGACGCGTCGCTGTAACTTTCCACGGACGCCGAACGTCCGTCGATACGCGCGTCCGAATGACAGCTTGACTTGACATATTACTTGACTTCCATGGAAACTGCGAACCACTGCCCTCCGAAGGTCCCAGTGCTGTCACGTGAAAATGCAATGGAAAAACTATAAATTTCCTATTATAGAATATCTATAGTTGTGACAGCCGTGCGTGATCATCCTCTACGCGCAACGAGCCTCGAATTAATCTAATTAACTCGCGATTAGTTGCGATTCGGTGCTTCGATAATAATATTACGTCACGTGGAAAACAATGATTCGACTTGGCCGCTTCCCACGCACAACGAGCTACCTGCAGTTGCCAACGTGACAATAATGTAATATCCTAATAAACGCATAACGATTCAGGCATTTCAACGTAACATAACATGAATATATATGATATATAATAATAGAGAAAAAATAAAAGAGAAAATAATAATATTAGTATTAATGTCACGTGTTCACAGGGACGCCTGTCACGATGCGTGGACGCAGCTCAGACACTCGCCCATGTTCGGCTGCATATGTCCGAACAATCACATGAAGAAACGCTGCGACCGTATATTCTCAATGGTCAATCAGAATCCGTGCATCGGTAAGTATTAAAAGGATGACGCTAGGAGGCTAGGAGGCTAGGACGCTAGGACGCTAGGACGCTAGGATTCAAACTTTGACGGCCGCCATACTCGCTCGGTCGTAGAGAGAGAGAGAGGTGTTTTGGGAAGAATGAGTCGAGTAGAACTTTTTATATGCACCTCTCGGTGTTGTGTGAAACATTCCATTATTTTCATTGAAACAATCTCTATAAATAAATACAAGGAATCATTTTGAATTACGCGTGATCACGCTGTATTGCGCAGTACTTTTATTTCGATGTTGTCATTCGCTGCTACGTCATTTCTGGAAAAGTTTAAGCAATCGACACGTCATCATCGAACTCCTCGTCTCGTAGTGCCTCCTCTGTATAAAGTTTGATCCTTCGATTTTTCTTGATATAACGTCACACTGCTCACAATCAGACATCCGATTCGCCTCTGATCTTACAATTAGCATTGCGGAGCACGATCAATGATCTCTTTCACTGATCTCGCGAGTCCTTATCCAGGATTGACGAAGCTTCTACTCGTATCTCGTATTTAATATATAATATATTGGTACTAGCGGTAAGTTGAATTATAAAATGGCGGGAATAGGGCTGTGCACTTGAATCCTGCGTCTGCGTAAGTGCGGGAGCACACGAATATTCCTTAATGTCCTAAGGACACCTATGCATATAGGTACTAAGGATGCATTAAGAGCACGTGTCCACGCGCGTACCTCTATGTGTACATACATATCTTACACGGGAGCTTTAAGTCATTCGTGTGCATGACTCGAGTCTTGGGTGATAGTTGCTAATTTGATAAATTATTGCTAAACAATGGAATAATTTAGGAACGGGATCAATTTTTGATCTGTGACAGTACATATGACGATCTGATAACAATTAAAAGAATTTAAATATCCTTTCGAATAATTGTTGCTGTCAATTCTCATCAATGGGAATATTAAAGATATCAAAGTGAATTAGAAAGCGAGTGAATTAGATTGAGCTGAGGTCCGATGTGGTAAGTTTACACTGTGCTGCGTGCAGTGGGGTGGTCTATTTGGTCCACTCGGAATTGCCAGAGGGGAGAAACGTAAGAGGGACAGGAGAGGTAGAGGAAATGAAAATCTTTTGCATCTGCCGAATGGGGACGTCGCTTGTGTATAATTATTAATTTTTGTAGCAGTGACGCAATACAGAGCATGAGTTTATATTTTGCAAGTTTGACAAAGGCGCCACTCTCGGAATACCTGCCAGTGAACTTCTAGTCTCGGCGATCAGTTTTGGGGACTGTCTCCTTCTCGCGGGAGAGAAGGGGGCGCGGCGCGCGCGCAACGCGATAAGGCCGCCTCTGTCCCATCGATCATTCGTGGATTTATTTGACGCGCGTTAGTTCACCGAGTGTCCCCGGAAGAGCAACGAGAGCTATCTTCCTAACGCAGGGCAGCTAACCCAACCCAACCCAACCCAACTCAACCCAATCCAACCTAACCTCACCTCACCTAGCCTCTAACCGAAGAAGATTTGGCTCCACCTCTGGGCCGATCACCATCGTCATCACCATCAGCACCATCCTCTACCTATGAGATCCAGTCCTTCTACCATCCTGATAACTTTTAATATTTTCATAGAAGCTCTGGACCAGCTCCGACCGAACTCCTTGCTCGAATTTTAAATTAAACAGATAAACCCTCTCTCCGTGGTCGCTCATCGTTACGCGACGCGTCCAAGAATTCCGCGAATCGCTAGAAAATAAAGATTTAAGACAAGATCGAAGAATTCCTAATGAACGTTTCTCAAATATCCGATATGGCCAATGCATCGCTCAATGCAAAATACCAATGCAATGCAATTTAGTGCGATAGCTGATGTCTGCACGTGCACTCCACCTAGAGAAAGAAAAAAGAAGTTTATAATATGACAAAGTGCCGAATGCATGCGTCGCTGCACGCATGCGATACGCTGCATGTTTTCTACTTATAATTGTCGCACCGATCACTGCGCAGGCATCTTTGCCCACTTTTCGTTATTCCATTCTTCCAGGATGTATTTTCGTCTCGATCTGTGTTCTATCCGTCTGAATGTCTATCCGGCCGTCCGTCTGTGTTCCCGTCGTAGTTAGATCAGTTGTGTCTCTACTTTACATACTTTCTTTCCATTTCCGAAATTCCTTCCGCAGCGAATCCACGCCTGTATTCAAATTTACTACTAAACACTTACTAGTTACTACATACTATACACAAACGTATACTATGTATATACATGTGAAAGCAGAGTTCTGTCGCGATCTCACCGGACGTTGCCTTGCCAACGGATAAGCGACGCTTTCCCGTGACTAATTGGCGCCACTGTGAGCGACCGAAATGAAATTATTAAGAGGCGACGGCGACGGCGACGGCGGCGGCGGCGGCAACAGCCGCCGATGAGACGAGTTCAAAAGCCACTAACTTTTCCCACATCGAAATCGCGTCTTGATCTTCAGAGGCCATTCACCTCAGTAACCTGGTGCGCTTCCACGGAGAATAGTATAGAGACACGCGGTATCCCGTAATGCGGAATAATAACGTCCGACAGTATTTCTCCTATTTTGCTGCATTCGAATGCGTCAAAGAATGGAAACGGCAAAGAATGTTAAACGAACCGACGAGTCATCGCGAGCTGAACTTGCACGGACGGATAATCGGTGAACGGTTCTCTCGATTGAAATTTGCGCATCGCCGACGCCGAGCAAATTAGCCAAATCGATTGAGGGTAAGGGAGGTAAGGTTTGGGAAGAGGATAGAATACAAAGTAGTAGAAAATAGGAGAAATGAATAGAGATTACGTTTGTTTGGGCAGCTGACATTCGTCAAAGTAACGTCGGTTGCGTGCGCGGGTTGCGTGCGAGGAGGGAGGGAGGCTGTGCATCGTTAGAATTGGTAGGTCCAGCACAAAACGGAAAGATGCCGGACAGAACTCTGCTTATCGACGTGTAGAAGATCAGGCGGAGGAATCGTCAGCGTGCACCGATCCAAAATGTCAATGAAATAAGAATGAAAAGAAATGAAAAAGCTGCTCCAAGCCAAATGTAACTTGAGATGCGAATCCGTGCACGTGAGTTCGAAATCGCACTGAGCCCCATCCCTCGCGTCTCTGTTTCTGTGTTTCAGACGTTCTACCCTCCATGTCAATAGATCTATCGGGGACCGACTCCGCCCTCTATCCGTTCGACCCCGAGCAGGAGAACTTTCCGGATTTCTGGTTGCCCCCGACCAGTATGTATCCCTATTTTCTGTTTCCCGCGACGACGAGTACGCGCACCTTCTCCGAACTCGAACGGTACCACCACCGGCACGAGGTTCCGGAACTCCCTAGCAGTCCCCGGAAGCCCATCCTCAAGGAACCCGAGCCCGGCGCCGACAGGGACGTCGTGCCCGTCCATCCGTATCCGGAGCTCGATCTTAATGTCGATTTTAACCTCGATCTACGTCCTGAGCCGGATGGACGAGGAGGACGTAGGACGAGTCTGCCCGGGTCCAGAATCCATCAAGGGAGTAAAAGTGGGAGCGGAGATGCGGAAGGGACCGATAGGAATACCGTAGGAACCGTCGATGCCGAGCGAGGATCTTCTTCCGAGCATGATCGTGACTCCTCCGACACCAGCACTGACCTCCAGCACCCTAACAAAAGCGAGCATGACCTCTATCGGCACAAATTCAACTATCACTCGCACCGTCATCACCATGACAGTCACAACCATCAGCAGCACCACGATAGCCTTGCACCTAATCCTACCCCCACTGTAGCCGAAAGTAACCCCGCACCGGCACCCGACCAGCACCGCAAGAAATTCGCACCGAGACCCACCTACGAGCACCGCGCCGTCGTCGATCGCATGGACGACGATCTCGACGGCAACGAGTTGAAGATCGGCGGCTTACCGCTCGACCGACTCTTCGACCTTCGCGACGCCTTCGAAGGTTTCGTTGATCAAGGTGCGTACTCTGCGCTCCGTGTACCTAAGCGACCATACCTGATAAGACTGATGACCTCCATGACCCCCTTCATCTAAAGTGCCCCCGGGGGGGGGAGGGGGGGTAAGAAAAAGAAAGAAGCGAAAAGCACCTAAGGAAATTCTATAATTCACCCGTGGGAAAGTCCAGATCTGAGACTGGTAGGAACCTACCTTACCTACTCTTTCCCGTGAAATTCAGTGTGACCTCGTTGACTTTTTTCTATTTTTTTTTTTAAATTGTTAAATAACCCATCAATCTCTTGACCTAAAAATGTCTTACAAGAGTTTTAGTTTGATCAAATTGAAAAGCGGAAGCAACCGTCGAGAACGTTGGTATATTTAATTGTATCTTCATTTAATCTTCTCGTCTTATTTATCTGTCACCGATTTTACAGTGAAGGTTATCGCGCATCCTGATAATTCAACGAGCTTCGAAGTCATCGAGTCTCAGTTGGAGAATCCGTTGATTGACGCAGATCATCAGGATCTTCGTGATCTCAAGCAAGTACCGTCGGAAGGGATTTACCATCATCAATTTCACCATAGGCGAAATCAGTCATCGGACGACGGGATACGTGAGTAGATTCTTTATACCTGATTTAACTCGATAGTTTCTTTGAACGTGTAAACGGCCAGTATCAGGAAATATGATGTAGGATGCGATCATGCGAGTACGAAAGGACTGAGCGCAAGAGAGGAAGCTGTAACAAGCGACACGAAGAGTAGGAAGGTTTCGAGAATGTGAAAGGGTCGTAAGGAGGCTGTGGAAGTAAGAAGTAACAGCGTCCCGACGCCAAGCAATACCTGCTCATGGGGGTCGAAGAGATTTATCACAGCGAAAGTTTAATTTAATTTCGACTGCGGACCATCTCATTTCCTGTGCGCTCCATATCTGTATCCGCATATTATTTCTCGGCGCGTCGGATTTCAAACTTTAATTCAGACTCGTAGAGCTTCTCTCTCTCTCTCTCTCTCTCTCTCTCTCTCTCCCTGTCTTTTATACCAACTCTAAAAGTGTTCAATAAAAGTTATATTTACACCAATTTTCAGTAACTTTGGAAACTCGCGACATACATAGCTATACCTGAGGACCGGATTAAAGGATAAGCAACGCTAATTATTGCCCGTCCTGATTCAATCCTATTGAATCCCAGTGGGTTACGGTTAGCTCCGATAGCAGGACTGAAACGATGGATACACAGGAATCAGAGAATCAGTATTATAGGGCATGGCAGTGCACCCGCATCCCTTTTACTCCAAATCGGATTTCGCTCTCTCGAATTTTGGATTTAAAAATTTATTCAAAAGGTTGCCTTGCCCTCGGATATCTAACATCTCTTTGACATCCCTTTGCTTCCACTCGGAGTAAGTCCCGTTCTCTCTCTCTCTCTCTCTCTCTCTCTCTCTCTCTCTCTCTTTCTCTTTCTCCTTCCTAAGATACTTTCACCTTGATAAATTATTCTCAAAGTTTTCAAATTGACCTGTACGTCGACGCGCCAGGACATTCGTCACGTTCGAGACTTCTCACATTAGTTCGTTTTCACCAAATAGGTCCACCTACGACAAATTTTTCAATTTCTAGTACTTTTAAGTATTATTTATCCTACTCCTTAATGTCTGTCATTTGGCTGATCTACCGGGAGATAGGTCCTCAGTTGTTTCCACACGTTCCGATCGCTAGACGACGCTTTTCTAGAAACGCAAGTTGCATACACGATCTGCTCGAAGGTCAGTTCGATTACTGTGAAAATCTACCACCATTAAACTTTATCGATAAAAATCAGGAGGAAAACAAAGGTAGCCGTAACAAAAATTGCTACAGTGCCAATAGCATTGGTCGATCGTAATCTGGAAATTAAACAAACGAATGCGGTTAACCGCCATTGTTCTATGAGAACAGAAATTATTCCGAGCCCGGATTGGCTGGTCAAAATCTATAACGTCACGTTTATGGTATATGACAGCTGCCGATTAGGATAGTACAGAGACGTAGCTTTATGATTCAAAGAAAGCAAATATCATTTTGCACAGTAATTATCACTGAATATACAGTTAACCCACATCTGCAATATTTCTTGGTAACTTTTATCTTTTTGTCGTCCCGTTCGTCCACGACGGTTTCGTAGATATCTGACACATGCTATTATGATTATTATTTCATGTTAGAATTATCGTTGGTCGATCAGACGCCTATTGCTGAATTATAAATTCTTAAATAAGTCACTCGCGTGCAGGCACGTAGGAAATCATTCTATTTGAAGGGATTATTAAGGATTTAAATACGTTGATGAGAGAGAGAGAGAGAGAGAGAGAGAGAGAGAGAGAGAGAGAGAGAGGGAGAGAGATTGATGTCATAAGGAATTCTATCAGAGTCATCCGTGCCTTGAGCCTTGAGTGCACAGTCTGGAAAAGGTATACGAAGAGGGAGGGTGATCCAGTAGAAGCACGAGCGATATCAGAGGCATCGGTCACAGGGGATGCTACCTCCCGGTTTAGGCATTTTAGTAGGGCAGCCCTGATGTGCAGAGTAAAGCCGGAATAGTCGAAGTTACCTTAGACGCTCGTTTGTCTTAATAAAATGCGCCGAGGCCGTCGGATCCCGTCGAATCTGCCATCCTCATCCCCATCGACAGACTTATGGCCAGTCATCCCTTATGGCAGCCCTTTTTTGGGGGGCTATCGAGTCGAGGCCATTTTTTATTCCAACGAGCAACCAAAGAGATTCATCCTGGTGCCTCTGGCTGCTATTAAAGAAAATTTTTGACAGAAAGTACGTAGAACCAAGAATGGGAATGGTAAGGATCTTTGTTCAGGTCGATTCCCGTGGCAGGGATCGATGAAATAAGGGTGCATCACGGGGAGTAGAGCAAGCTGAATAATCGAAAGAAGAAAGAGGGAGAAAATGTTTACAGCCGATGCCAAGTTAACTCTGCCCCGCACCCAGCCTATCATTTGCAGGGTGGTTTCCTCCTGGTGACTTCCTGGTAGCCCAGTGTTCTCCCAGGTAAAGCTGGGTCTCCTCACTCTCACTGGGCTGTACAGGCAAGCGGCAAGCGGCACGCCTAACTTCATCTTCGGAATTGCTTGAGTGACCAGGGGTTGTTTGTTTCTTTGCCCGGACGACTGTTTGTCTCTCTTCCGGATTCTTTGATTGGACACAATTACAAAGAACGTGTAACGGTGACAAGTGACAACTAGCCGAGTGCAAATTTTGATGTGTGCGATAGATCAACCTGAGATCCCGCTGTGGGCGTGTAACTCGTGTACGTATAAAATGAGACATCGAGACTACCCCCACACTTGTTCATGTGCAGGTCCTCGAGTATTCCAATTGAAAACATGATATTCCCTGCGTCGAGTACAATAATATAATATAATTTCAATGCGAGATCTATTTTTTATCTGCAGTTTGTCAATCGGACAATTTAGAGCTGTGCGCATCAAGTGTCGGATGGCCTCGTTTGCCACACGCGAGACACACTTCCAAAATGGGATCTCATATTGGTCATGATCCGAACATGGAAATTTTTACTCGGATGATAAGATTCCGATCGATACGCAGACGTTATCTACGAAGGTAATGTCAGAACGATCTGATACAGTGAATTCTCTTTGATAGATCCTGGTAGCTCGGCCGTTGCCTCATCTCCGGTTTCCGAGGGGGAGAAGTCTCTTCCTCCGCCCCCCGTTAAGCTCATCCTCTCAAGCACGTGTCATCACGCTTACACCTCGTGCAAGTAAGTTTTACGTGGGGATCTTGGAGTAGCCAGAAAGTTACTGCAATTCTCCGTTGGCCTCTATTGAAGTTCTGAGACCTACTGATACCTAACCTAACCTAACCTAACCTAACCTAACCTAACCGAGTCCAGCCTTTCATTTCTTTTATTGTTTTTTTTTCCATTTTCCTTTTTCCACAGAAACGATCCTGACTGCAGGACAGAGCTGCAACCTGTGCTGAACCACTGCGAGCTCGCAAGCTGCGCCAGGAACGAATGCATGGATGCACTTCAGCAGTTTTACAAGATGGCCAGTCACAAACACTCCATGGAGATAGCCTTTTGTCTTTGCAAGTGAGTCCTTTCAAACTCGAGTGCATGCTTTCGCGTCGGACTGCCTTCACTCACGAGAATTTCATGGCAACGATGACATCCTGCTCTCTCCTTAAGTCAGACATTCCTTTTGACTTTACGTCTTTACTTTCTTCTTTCCTAAAGCTGTCAAAAACAGTCGCGCCTCGAGCGGCAATTACCGGAAACCCATCACTGATGAGTTCACCTTTAGCAAAGCTCTTAACATCTAAGTATTATAGCTTTCCGCCCGAAAAAACAATGCCTGCGCTTTCTTCTTATCGTTTCTGTCTTTCGACCGGTTACTTTTTCCTTTGCCAAATTGGCAGCCCTGCTGCGGTTTCCATCCGAAAGACGCTTGAATTCCCGACTTGCCGCATAACAATTAAACGAGGGCCGAGTTCCTTGGTATGAATGGAGTACTTATTTGTTTTAATACTCGACGAGTAGACGTGACTTTATGAAAAGTCCACTAGATAGAATAGCAGAATAGCAGAATAGCAGAATAGTAGAATAGTAGAATATCGACAATTGAATACGTGCCCCCCCCCCTCCTCTCCCCCTCGCGTTTAACTCAAAGCCGATGGAGCCTTTTCTTCTGACTTTCTTGCTCGTTCAAATTACTGCAACATTACGGAAATCCCTGAAACGGGAACCTGGGAACCACGACCGACGTATTCTGATCTTTCTACCGAAAAGTTATCCTGAATCACATGTAAAATCCTTTTCTATTAAATCCATAGAAAATCTGATGGCAAACGGGACGAGTGCATAGTTGCGCAAGAGAAGATGCATCCAACGTGTGCTCAGCGTATCGAGGGTGCGGAGATGCCAGCGTGCCACAGCGTAGCAGAGGCTTGCAAGGAAGACAAAGCGTGCAAGTGAGTCTCGGCTTTGAAATTTCGCCCAGGTATCATAGAAATAGTAGTATATGTATACCTAGTAGTGGCAGCAGGTTAATGCAGCGAACCACATAGAGAAACAAAGAGAGAGAGAGAGAGAGAGAGAGAGAGAGAGAGAGAGATAGAGAGAGAGAGAGCTACTCTCGCGAGTTCTCAAAGATCTTTCAACCTGCCGACTCCACCAGAGAAAATCTGACTTTAAGATCGTAGAAGTGGAGAGAGAGAGAGAGAGAGAGATGTAGTGGCAGCAGGTTAATGCAGCGAACCACATAGAGAAACAAAGAGAGAGAGAGAGAGGGAGAGAGAGAGAGAGAGAGAGAGATAGAGAGAGAGAGAGCTACTCTCGCGAGTTCTCAAAGATCTTTCAACCTGCCGACTCCACCAGAGAAAATCTGACTTTAAGATCGTAGAAGTGTAAGGTAGCAACAATTGACGCGAGAATCATCTTAAAAAGTCATCCAATTTTTTTCAGAACGAAACTCGTATATTTCGAACGAAGCTGTGCGGTGGACAGTGTCACTAAAAAGTGTGCAGGACCTCCTCTAGAGTGCAGGAAGGCCATGATCGGGATCCTGGGTACCGAGTTAAGGCTAAGCTGTGCCTGCAAGAGTGCCGACCTCACACAGATCTACGACTGTCTAGGCTGGCAGAGACTCCTGTGGGTGAATCCGTGTGTCGGTGAGTACTAAGAACTTTTGTTTTTTAACAACCCTGTACATTCGTATGTTTACGAAGAAATATATTGTAACGTGTTAATAGATCGCGAGTCGGTTCGATTCGAATAGTTAAATATGAATGCGTAACGATGACCAATGCGAAGCCAGTGGGTAGCAGAAATTAGGAGAATTCTATACTATACGTATGTACTTGACTACATGTATGGCTGATACATAGATAGAGTAGATAAGAATGATAATGGATTAATATTATACGATTCCAAAAGCTGTCATCGCGTAATGGTCTATTGTGAAAACGTCCCTCGTCGTTAATGCAAAAGAAAACTTTGCCAAGGATGCTGTGCTCGTTCTGTGGATTAGTCTTCAAGGTTTCGATTTGTGCCAAGTACGTCCCGACTAAATTGCATTTTACCTCGAGGATCCGTCAGGTTGCAGTTTCTATTAATTGAAACGATAGAAGGGAACACGAGAACTTTTCCTTGTTTCGGAGGACACTTGTTTTATCAGACACGAAGAAATTACCAGCGCGCGGTATACTTGCCGGCGAATCGATGGCTGCCGAATGGCTGAATTACAAAATATTGCTTTCTTGCGAACGAGCGAAATTTTGTGGAATCGAAATGAGATTTCGAGCGAGAAAGTCGAAGGTTCACAGATTAAAATTTTTAGTGGATGCACAGAGAGACTTTCATGCTCGGAGGAAACACCATCATCACCCGAGGACTACGACGACCTCCGTCACGACGAGTAAAGTCCTGAGCACGTCCAGTGCGGCGGGAGGCGTCGTCCCCGTGAACGACGTCCTCGAGGACAACCAAATACCTGAGCACGCTGGAAGACCGCAGACCGAACCGACCGAGTCTTCCTGGCAAGTATTGGGCATGACGACGAGCACTGCGACCGCTACGAGCGCTACGGGCGCTACGGGCACTACGGGCACTAGGAGCACTGCCACCACTAAGGCAGCCAGCCCCACGACGACCACCCTCCTCGCTAGCACTACGACCACCCTGGCAACTACCAGTACGACGATCAGCACAACCCCTAGGACCACGACGACGAGCACAGCGCCTCCCCGTGAGTATAGCAAAATTGAGATTTCGAGAAAATCTTTATACTCATGAAAATCCTCGAGGAAGATCCGCTAAAATTCCGTAGAATTCAATGCTGCCAATTTCTACGTATACGTGTACACTGTAAATACATTGTATGATATGCAGTAATTTTATATGTGCGATAAAACTGCACTAGGAGTAGCTACGTGTCTCACGTATAAATGCATGCAACCTTTCTCGGCTTATTTTTATAGGTTTCTGTGTGGTTCAAAGACCGAGCCAGTCTCACCAGTACATCAGAGAAGGAAAGGGCAAGAGGGTAAGATGACGTCGACGTCGACGTTGTTTCTTTTATTCCCAAACCTTCTCGTTACTCGGGGACGTTGGAAAGGACGTGTGTTGGTGTGTGTGTGTGTGTGTGTGTGTGACGATATAAAATGACACATCTACGGGTGAAAATATGTCGATGAATACGTAAATGGGGGTAAATGGGGGTAAATGTGGGTAAATGGGGGTAAATGGGGGCGAGACGAAGCTTCCTCTAGGATAAAACACGTAATAATTTAAATGGCGCCCAAGGAGTGGCTGATGGTAGCTTTGATACTAGGGAAAAGTCAATTTATATCAGCTGGTCGATCGAAGAAATGTTATCCGAACCAATAGCCGTAAATTCCCGTAAATTCCCGTAAATTCCCGTAAATTCCCGTCCAACGTCCTCGAAAATATTAGCACTTTTCTTCTGCCATGCAAAGTCGTGATTGAGAAGTGAATATACATATATTTAATACGCATTTAGCTCTACCGCGAGGACGAACCTGAGTGTTCAGAATTATGTCAATGCAGCGAGGGTGAGGTCCTCATCTGCAACACCATCTGCGTCGACTCTTCACCCTGCAAGACGGACTTCGCCTTCTATAATCACGCAGCGCCTGCCTATCAGGCCTATCGTGGTCGCTGCCTCTGCTACAGCGGTCGTTTCATCTGCATGCGCCCATCTCCAGGTATAGCAATCACATTACTTAAGAACTTGTTTCTCCCTCGATCCTATCATCAGTTTACAATCCTCTGTTGTTCTGCTTCCTTATTTTTCTTCGAACGTACAGACGCCTACAGCATACCTCATGGAATCTTCATGTTCCTGGGATACAGTGAAACCGATGAGAATCTTCTTAGACCCCATAATAACTTGACCGTGCTGGACGCGGTCTCGTCACTGGATACTTTTATGCGGCAGGAAGTTAACAATCAGGTATGTTTTCTGTTTGACATGCATCACGTAGATACGGGACGGCGTCTTACGCGGGGAACAATAGAATGGCCTAGTTGTGGAGCCTGGTTCCTCGGTAAAGTTAGCGTAATTCGATAGAGATTCGATTAAAGAATGGCTGAGTCTCTTGGGGCGATTAATTCGGCCTGTCCGGAGGTCAGAGGTCGTGTTGACGTACTTTAGAGCGGTTCCTTATTCTCTCTTTGGATTTCAGACGGTCTGCACGCTCTTCCTCTACAACGTGACCAGAGAGAACGTGATTGCAGTCGCACGACTTGGCACGGACAATCCAGCACTGAACGGCAGTCAGACACAGAGTCTACAGCATCTTCTGCGCATCAAGGTGGGTCCTCAAACTATTTGCAGCCGATCATAGAAATTGGCCTATCAGGAAACTCTGTGGATAATTTTTTAACAACGTGAAACCAGAGTGATACATCCCATCGAAAATCATACGTTTCGCTCGAGCTAAGCCCTGAATTTCCAATTTCCAATTTCCAATTTCCAATTTCCAATGTACAATTTACAACTTGCAATTTACAATTTGCAATTTGATGGAGAAGAGGATTTGAATAAATGGAGTCTCTGTTTCCGCGAGTATTTTGACCCGTTGAGCTGCGCGCTAACGCGATAGCTTTGACCTCGACGTAAACGCAAAGCCGAACCGCAAAACGCAACCGAAACTCCGCAGCCCCCTATAGATCTGTATACATATATGTGCGCGGCCGCTTGTGTGTGTTCGTACAATTCTTTTTTTTTTTCTCTACTCAAGTCTCCAACATTCGACTGCCCCCTCGACGATTGGCGCATTCCTTATTTCGGAATTTCACTACAGTTCTGCTACGCGATACGGCGTACATCGTCTGGTCCGATTTTTGCAGTTTCTTTAAACTCAAGGAAATAAATGATTCACGTGAAACGTGAAGAATCCTCCGTGTCTTTTAATTGACAAGAATTTTACGTGCAGTCTCTTAACTCAAAAACTCACAGCCGGATATTGCCATCCGGCTCTTCGACGTTTCTCTATTCGATTTCCGGTAGCGTTTAGCTTTCCGCTTTTACAGTTATAACTTGACAGGACACGCAACAGACTCACAAGTAGAGCTTTTAACGAAAACCAGCTGCCACAGGAAAACGTCAAAAGCACTCGTCATACATTTTTTCTAGTGGCATTCTAGCACTTTACCCCAGCCGCCCTTTTGTCGCTTACGCGTGTTATTTATAAGGCAAAGGCGTCGCGACGCACTGTCGTATGCAAAGCGAGCACACGTACATGCGCGACATATTTGTTAATGCATCACTACAGAAGCTTAACTAAATACTCACTGCTCAAACGAGGGACATACGACAACAGACAACATATTGCCATCCTTAGGATCGACTTCATCTTTCAGCCGGAAATTTTCATCCCTTGCTGTTATTAAAATGAGAGCGACTGTCCTGTCTCTCCTTGTACTTGAAGGAAGAAGCGACAGAGAGAGAGAGAGAGAGAGAGAGAGAGAGAGAGAGAGAGAGAGTGTGTAAGGACTGAATGGAGGGGAGTATGCCAAGGGAAAGTATATCCATAGGTATGAGAAAGAGGAACGAAGGAAGAAATAACGAGAGGGAAAATGGGGGAAGGGTGGCTGCGCCGAGGTGTCTTTCTACGATGTAACAGCCACCTCGAGGCCAGTAGGTCCACTCAATTCCCCAAACCAGGCCTTGGCGGCCGCCTCTTCTCTTCTCCACTTCTTCCAATAGCCATTCTAGCTTCCTTTCCTTATCTCTTCCTATCATTCTGACTCGCCTCCTGCTCCACCTGCTCCACCTGCTCCACCTGCTCCACCTGCTGCTCCTTTTGGTCTATAGATAGATCGAAATACGCTATCTGGCAGCAATAGGAGAAACGAACTGCTCTAATCCCAGGAGACAGGTCGCCCTGGGCTTCTCGTTATTTAGCTCATGGTACGACGGACGCACGCACACGCCTGCTAATACCGTTAAACAGTAAAATATTTTTTTGAGGATCTTTGTAAAATATTGAGCAAAGAACGGGAAGAAAGTAAAGAAAGTGAAGAAAGTGAAGAAAGTGAAGATTCAAAATGAGTTTAGTTTAGCTGTTTAGCTACTTTCATTCTGCAGCATATCTCATTGTGCGGACCTTGTGACACATTGTGTGCGTTATGATCCCTCCTCATGTAGGGAAGTGATCAATTGGACAGGATCAATTGGACTCCCTTCCCCGACCTTTCCTTTCCTACACTCGAGAAATCCTGCATCCGATAACATTTTGTTAACAAATAAAAAACTTGGAGGACGTGAACGTCACGCTGGAGTCTGCCAATTTGTCTATTGATTCGTTATGGCAAGCAACGACGTCAGCCTCTGATGGCGTCTGATGGCGTCTGATGACGTCAGCGTCTGCGAGGACGCCAGTCTTCTTAACAAAAGTCGCGACAGACGCCAAATTACGCCTCGCGTAATTCGTGCGCAAACGTTAGAGCGAGATTAAAGGACGCGAACGACAGAGAATAAGAAATAAAAACATTGAGTGGCTCAATAATTCAGCGTCCCAGTTCCATCGTGCCTTGGCACTTTCTTTCTTCGCTTTCTTCGCTTTCTTCGCTTTCCTCTCTCCTCCTCTTCTTCTTCCGCGTCCAAAACGCGGCTGTTGACTTTAATCCTAGGAGCGTCACACACGAGTAACGCACACACTGTAGCACCCGAAAGGAAACACATTTTTCAAGAGTGCACATACTCCGAACAGTCTTGTATTATTAGAGTATTTCCTTTTGATTTTACATTTGATTCCCCTCGATTCTCGCAGCCAGTGACAGAAATCCAAAGATTAAGCGCCGAACAACAACTTTGTTTCCACACGAGTAGGCGTAGCATGTTTTTCGCTAATTTACGGAATACTCCGAAAATAGAGAACACTAGAAAGTGCAAGTAAATCTAGACCTTATTTTCACCGTCTAGCTTGAATCAATAACACGCAGGCTAATGATAAATAAAATTTTCAAATAAAAATACATCTCATCAGTTTTTCAGTAAATATTACGTCAATGATGGAAGGAAGTCTATTGAAGTAAGCATACATTTTCCTGTTGCCAACCACAAAGGTTTCATGTAAATTAAAGAGAAACAAAAGGCGGCCCAGTAAGCATCACGTGTACCGAGCAACTAGAAGGACTCCGAAGAACGGCTCATAAAATTAAGTAGAAAATGAGTGCGTGCAGCCATACGAATAGTCGGCCCATGTCCGCTGGCAATCAGACAAGTGATAAGAGACTCGCTAACTGCTTTGAACAGTTTTGTGTTCTGGGCATCGATAATACGCCCATACGCCCATACGCCCAGTTTCACCTAACCTCACTCCGAATGACCGTTTCCAAGAGGCAGCCAGCGGGGAAAATCGAGGAACTTAATTCTATACTCAAGCAGCGAGCAAGGAAATTGAATGAAAACTCGCGAGTCGAGATCGATACTCACCGATGCGAACCTAGGTGCCTTTATTGGCTTTATGCCAATAACGGCTATCTATGTGGAGCAGCTGTGCGCGCCTATTCGATAGGCCCCGTCCTCCGTGCGAGGATACGGATTCATCCGAATGTTTCCTCTATAGTCTCTGCGTGTGCTTCTATTATACTCTTATACCGCCGGGCATTGAGTACAGAAGGTAGAAGGAAGATGACAAAGAAAGCCAGACGAGAGAGAGAGAGAGAGAGAGAGAGAGAGAGAGAGAGAGAGAGAGAGGAGAATATTGACTAGTATTAAATAGTATCTTGTTTTCCTGTGGTGCCTACTTGGAACGAAAGGATGGAATAGGTCAATAGAGATAGTACATGGATAAGGAATACCATTATGGCATTGATTATGTTATCTTAATGGAGACGCTCATAGCGAGAGAGTGGTTACCTAATCAGACACTTGGATGATTGGATAACGTTACTGTGGCTAAGAGTATTAGCTAGAAATACTCTAATTAAATGTCGCCTATACTTTGGACTTCCGGTACATTAAATCGCTCCTAGATCTATGACTTGCCGAGACTAAGAATATAAAAATCATTTGCTGGAGGATGCTCCGTTGTGTTTCCCATGTATAAGGCTGTACTTTATGTGTACTCTGGTGTACATACGTCGTCTGGTGTCTGCTTTCTTTAAACGAACAAGAGGTCGCCATCTTGTCCCTTGACTTCGGAGTGGCGATGGGTAAATTTTATTAACGGAACTCATTGCCGGCGGTAGGGTTGGTTCGTCCTTAAAAAAAAAAAAAAAAAAAGGCAAAGAAAAAGAGAAAGAAAATATGGCGATATCGTCCAGGCGCGAAATTCCCATTAATTCCGTGAGCGCGCATGAAGCGGCGTAGAAAAAGAGATCGCGGCCACTCGCGCGACTTCTCACGTAAGAGTCGAGCGACCACTCGTTTGTATCGCGTGCCGTACCTACTTTTTCCACTTTTTCCACTTTTTCCACTTTTTCCACTTTTTCCATGCACGGCAGCAGCAGGGCTTTACGTGCTGGCGCGTAAGCGTCGAGGCGCTCCGCGTCTACGTTAGGTTGCATGTCGTTGTACCTTCGTAGAGGGTCATTTTTATTTTTGTCCGCAAAACGTGACTCGACGTCACCACTGAAATCGTCCTAAGCGATCGACTGAATAGCGCGCTTACGTTGTGAGTTCAATCGGCGGCATCGAACACTTTTTCGACCGCCGAAATACAAATGGACCGAAACGCAGCCACTTGCACACAGGTACTGGGAAGATGGGGCAACGATAAACGACGAAAGATCGATTCTCGTCGTCTTCGGAGCATCTTGTTATTTTGGTATTTTGGTACTTTGGTACTTTGGTACTTTGGTACTTTGGTACTTTGGTAGCTCAATGCGCTTGGCCTCTGGTGATACCTTGATGCCCACTCGTCGCCGATGCACACTCATTTCCATCAAGAAGTCCAATTAGTAAGCACTAATGAAGGATCTGCTCTCGAGGGACAGTGGGAGTCGGGGGCCCGGGGGAGTACCCACCACCCGGTGCCGTACTTGCTGCACCTCCTGCAGCATCTTACGCTCAATGGAGGATAAAGAGACGCGTGCGTCCTATTGTTCTTCATTGCGTTTCCGAGCGCAGCAGCATCATTAATTCGAGTAGTTCTTCGTTCTAGTCGATTGTTATCTGCAAACGCAAAGGCGGAAGCGGCAACAGCTTCCGCACGCGGGTCACATTATCAGGTCGTCTCTTTGGTTCGCGCAGTGCACATCCGATTTCAGGGCCATCGTCCACCGTCGTCATCCACCACTCGCAAATTAGGAAATAGTCGACGACGATTGCATTTTTTTGTGTCGTTCCATTAGATTTTTGGAATTCCGGGAAATCCCAAGTTCGTGATATGAGCTTCATGCGTCTTGCAGAGGCTTAAGTCTGCAGTAGCAGGATAATTCGGAGAAAAGGAAATAAAAAATACTGAAGCGCATTATGCTGTCCTGCGAGACAAGGAGGTGCGGGCCGTCGGGCTGCGCAGTTGCAGAAGGAGCTCTAGGACTGTGGAGCTGTGGAATTCTAGAGGGCGAGCGGTTTCAGGGGGATTCGGGTAATTAGCTCCAACGCCCGAGAAACTCGAAGCCGGCTACAGTTAGTAGGCGATATCTAAAATGAATTATCGCTTCGGGCTTTAACGCGAACAGTGAACCGGTATGGCGGCACTGCCCAGTCTAACAACAATGGTAACGGTAACAGGGCTACAACCGGTAGGAGCAAATACCTAATAGACAACAGCAAGCTGCTCCATTCAATTACTTAATCTTACTGGATATTTCTTTATGACACATATTTTTTAAATTTCAATTAAACATTAAAACACAACCCTTGCCCTTGTGAATAAACGGTTCTATAATTTTTTATTATAAATTAACTCTTGTTCGTCAGGTTGAATATTAAAATGGTTGATAAATGAAAATTTCTTGCAGGAGGAATGCGCTTCGATGCTCCAGGAACTGAGCGAGAAGATCAACAACAGACACCAGGAGGTGCACACTCATCCGCTCCTCTCGATCTTCAAAATGGCTGAAGTCGAGATAAAATTGCCATACAGCAGCGAAGCTACTACGATTAGATCATCCTGCTGTCTTCTAGCAGTGGCTCTACTCGCAGTGCTCTTCACGATCTCAAGAGCGCCGAGGTCGTCTTCGTCTTCGTCTACGTCGTCATCGTCGGGACGCGTTGATTCGTGACAGAGAAGGCAAGATGGCCACGTATATGACGTATACCTGGACAACGTAGGAGCCATCATTATGCGTATGCGTGGATGAACTAATTAACGAATAAATATTCGATTGAATGGATCGATGAACGAATGACTGACTATGCGAACCTGCGAACATGGAAATATGCAAATATGCAAATAACGATGGTAAAAGACCTCAGGGAGGTTCAGTAAGAAGGCTCAAGGTCCACCCTAAATGAGTGTTACACATGTATGTGCATATGTCACAACGTCCATAAGCGAGTATATGGAATAGGCAGATAAGGTTCATTTTCAAGGGAAAAACAAAAACAAAAAAAAGAAGTCAACAATCGACGACCAAATTCAGACTCGGGTTTCGTAAACGCTTTGTATTCGTGAACGTGATTAATGTCGATGATTGAATGAGTAAGAGGGGAAGAAGGAAAAATGAAGGTTCGCGATGGATCGCGTCGAAGATGTCGTAGGAGCGTCGCGACGATCTTACAGGCACCTATCCATGTGTATAGAATATGTGTGCCGCGTGAAGAACGTTCGTATGTGTATAGCTAGTTGACAATTCTGTACCATATAATTAATTGCTAATTGCTAATTGCTAATTGCTAATTGCTAATTGATTAAGCTGCTCCATGATACTGGACCATTTATTCGTTAAAGTTGAATTGGCGAGAATCCTCAGAACGAGAGTGCGCTTCAGAGGATTCCTCGGGTGTGTAGATAGTCATTAGATAAGGCCCATCTAATAAGAGCCAAGAGTACACAATGAAAAATAGTCGCTAATTAAATGCTAATTAGTCTAAGCTCTCTAATCTCCAAATCCTATGATCACCAGTGCTAAAATCTTATTGGTGCACTCCTGTAGTACCGAAACCGTGCGTCCTTATTAATAGTCAGAATCGCGTGATCCATTGATACGGACAACGTTAGCTGCTTTCATAGACTCGGTCGCGTGTCTCGCCATTTACGTAAAAATTCGCCGAGCTTTTAGTTACGACTAACAAGGTACGCGGAATTACGGACTCGACGTACCATTGGACCTTGGAATTTAGACCAATGAGGTTTTCGGAATTTTACGAATTCTTCGTCTTCTATGCTCTAACTTTGACCGTTAGAACATTCCAGATGGCCATCTTACCTCCGACCAACGTGCTTCTTCTCTGTACATACGATAACACATCAAGTCCTTCCACACTTCTCCTAAAGACACTTAAAACACGTAAGAGACAAACACGTGCGTGACAAAACGCCCGAGACAATTATACGCGAGAAATCGAACAAGCATCATCTTTGATTTGTCAGCAATCGCTGGATGCCTCGTCGAAAGAAACAGTAAATTGCAAAGGGGTCCGCGCATTGATCCTTCCATTCTCCTCCGACGATGTGCACAGCTGCACGCGTCTCTAATACCTATACATATAAGCTCATGATAAGCTCATTAGGATATTAACGATATTGAAAATTGGGTTCAAACCCACTCAGTCTGTATGGCTGTTGCACTAGACAATGTGAAGAAGGATGATACCAAGTATACAGCTTCTCTATACAATTAGGTGTATAAATCTATAAATATGATGATGAGAAATTAATAACATAATTATAACATACTATGTGCATAGGTACACATATCCAAATAAAAGTAGTCACGTGGAAAAGGAGAGTCATTAGGCGTATGAGCGTGCAAGATTACGCGTGACGGATCCCCGAACCGTCCTCGTGTCCATAAGTTTCTACACGGGATAAATTATATTTCAAGCGATTTATTAATAAGAAATTTGTTAATCTAGGTAATTGAGGGTGTACGCGAGAGGGCGTGTCTTGACTATGTGAGATGCAATGAAGATCAGCCGGAAGTGAAGACAAAGGAGGGAGGGCGGCGGCGGTCAGTGATATCCGTCTATTAATAGTCACTCGAATATTGATTGTACAGAATGATTGTCGAGAAGTTGCGTCTTCGGGTGTGGCTCAGCTTGAGCTACGATCAACCCTATTGACCACCGACAATAACCTTCCTCACAGGTCTGTCTTTCTTTTGATTAGACCCAACTCGAACGTTATTGACGTTGATCCAATCGCAATGACTTAAGCTCGATCCGAATCGGTAACTTCCCGTGATTCACCCTATACACATATCTGTATAACCATTTAATACATTGATAAATTCACATCCGGTTAATCTTCCAGCTCCGACTGTATCCGTATCTGAGTAGCATGGAGCGATCGAACAAGCAATAATAATCTATAGAAAACGTGGTAAATGTAAATTTCTCCAATGAAATGCGTGCGTGCGGGTTCAGAGTGCACATTGCGCAGGACGATGTCGAGGAGCCAAAGAGCTTTAGAGAGAAGTGAAAGAGTGTGCGTGTGCGTGTGCGTGTGCGTGTGCGTGTGCGCGTGTACAGTGTATACAATGGATACCTAGGGATGAGAATTAATGAGGAGACGATTTGGACCTCATTAGACTCTCTCCGACCATCTCGATATCAAGTACGAGCTTCAAACAGATAAAAGTCAGATGATAAAAGATTGTATCACAAGAGCCTGGTTATCTAATAAGGCAAATTATTTGAGGATTGGTACCGTGATATCTAAAATAGTCCAGAATATATTGCTCAATTAAACTCGGTATAAACTAAGCAAAAGAGCGAAATGTAAGTCTATAAGAAGCGACAAGAATATATTGGAGGAAAGTAGCAAATAAGACTAATGAGAGTGAGACAACTAAACGAGATGAGGGATAAGCGATTGCCTTTCTTTTTTTCTTTTTTTTTTTTTTTTTTTTTTTTTGTATTTTGTAGTGGCATTTGATCGGACAAAGAGATGGCGAATGCTGCCTTCTCCGACTATGTGAACCCCTCTGGAATTGCTCTTAGGAGTCTGAAACCAGAGGCGAACGTAGCGCCGCTCTAATCAAACGTTCAAGCCCTCCTAATTGCCTTGGTTATTCAATTGCATCCGCAAGTGTGCCGTTTGGCTACCCTCACAATTAGTATATTTCAAATCAATTCAATTAAGTTCAAGCTGATCCGAGTTCGAGCATCTATTACTCCGATCACGCAATTACTGGCCAACCTTCGTTCTATTTATCTTGAACATGTATTTTTTGTTATTAACCACGCTCTTGTGATAAGTACCCAGTCACTACCATCAGCAGCATCGTCATCGTCATCGTCATCGTCATCGTCATCGGTCGGGTGATGTTCAAGAATTCTATTTAATTTAATCGATGGAGTTACGAATCGACATTGCCGTCGGTTTTGTGATCTTGTCAAATTACAAGGGGAAACAATGGGCGTCGAAGCGCATCTGGCGAACAGCGTCGCGACGCAGCGCAAATAAATAACCAAAGGAAATGGAAGATAGGAGGTCAAATCAGTGGTCGAAAGAGAAGAAACGAGACGGCGGCGGCCATGGTAATTCTCGTCTGCTGTCAAGTACAAAGTACTTGGAAATATGTTGTTTCGAGAGTCAGGCCCGTTGCATAGTATCCTTTCTAACGTAACGTAACGTAAGGGAGTAGAATCGAATCGACGATAGCATCACCATAGAAAACGAGTACTGTGGAAGAGGATGATGACGATGATGATGATTGATGATGATTAATGATAAATATCAAGAGTGCGATTTAGAAATTGATAGAGAAATTTTATTGTGCAACGACAAGTTAAAATATAAAATAATAGATGAGAAGAAGAATGGAGAGGATACGCATAAAGATAACGCTTACGTGAAGTTTTTTTATTACTAATTACGAAAGAAAATGGTGGTTCCAAACGAACATATCAAGGCCCTTAGACAAGGCCAGCCAATGCGTTTTACTCTAAGTTCCTGTAGATTCAGTTTTTTTTAAGCGTAACCCAAAAAGGAAAGGAACAGAGGCCAACGAAAACGAGAAAGCGCGACGACGAAAATTGCGGCGCTTTATCTCGGCGCGTTCGCAGCGACTTTGAGGACTCGCCTTGCACATTTCTCGCAAGGATTTCTGTCTTGGCTGCTAACGCGCTGCAGACTATTCCGATCTACCCTGGGTCTAATCCGGACTATACCGGTGGTACCAAGTGGCAGGGGTCAGAAATCGATATTTCACGATGTAGTAACGGGCTCTCTCGTATCGACTTCCTAGTGTCTAAGCTCCCTGTATAACGCGGCTTTGTTTTATCGGCCGAGATTTCATATTTTGAAGAGCTTCCCTTTCCGTCTTACCTGTCGCGCATTCAATTCGATTGCAACACCAATGCCATCTCTTGGCAACTGCATCAACTTTCACGTAAAAGCTCGCAAGCTCAAATCTTTGACCTTTGGTCTGCCTCTTACCCAGCAGCTGTGTCCTGGTCCATCCGCTCTCCGCGAGTAACAGGCGTTCTACTTGCGACGCAAAGGCATCACCTTTCTGATCTTGCGCCCTGACCTTCGCCCCCTTTCTCCCTAATGCGCCAAGTCACCTTGTCTACGCACGTAAACCCCAGCTTCCATGCATAACTAAACACTTGAGCAGTCCTTACGAATTCCTCCTGACACTCGATAACAACCTAAAATCCACAAAGTTGATGCAGCTTTCAAGGTCTCATTGTCAGTGGAAGCATACATACTGTAGGCTCGGTCGATAATTCGGAGAGCGCGGAAGCTCAACCTTTTACAATTTTTCAATACTCCCACAAGAGGATATCAAGATACACCCACTCGTACACACCTACGCAGCTATATACGTATATATTTTATTACTTGAAACGCACTCTGACCCCTGCCACGCCTGTAATATATAAACCATAAGATTATCATATCTAAATTTAAGTAGCGCACTGCTAAGAACGTTTGATCCTCCCTAAACAACTTACGTCGATACCTCGACTAAATACTCGACTCGAACTCCTCGTTTTAATACACGTATCACTGATCTAAGTTTATCCTAAGTTCATCCCGGAAGATCTCCTCTTGTATCTTCCAATTATCACGGACAGGCAGAATTGCATCACCGACTGAGACTAATGCGACCATTTCATTTTTATTTATTGCCATTAAATCTTTTTTGCATCATCCTTGGTACGTCACACACACACACACACACACACCCGTACATACTCAATGGCCGACACTTCCCATGTCGTTAATATCTATATCGCATATGTCGTGCATATCGAGTCTTGATTTTTTTTCTCAGACGAACAACGATCAGAATGTTATTCGTTCTCTAATGGCTGAATGTTACTACTTACCTTTGGGAACGACATTTTTCCCAAACACTACGCAGCCGTTAAACTCATCGGCAGTGGCCGCTAACAAACGCATATCCATTACCAATATTTAGATACCTATATTTAAAAGGTTTCCAACGGCAGTAAAGGGTTGAATCCGCTACGTGAATACTATCGCGATACCTACATGTACGATACATTAATTATAAGCGAAATTGTTATGAGTTATTATGGTGGATGAGAGATGGCAGAGGCGTTAATAAATAAAGAAATTTGGTTGAGAAACCTTGAAAATATATGACAGTCTGCTTTATTCTCATTATTCAAGTCTAAGATTTCTAGAGAAAAAGTCGATCTTTTCTTGTTAGTGATTAACTAGTCATAATTGTACGTTTAACGAAAGATTATTATTGAAGATCGTATAATAAAAGAATTTAGTTTAAGAAAAGCAATTGATTGTTTGTTAAGGCATATATCGTTTTATTTCTTAAAAATCTTAAAGGGTCACTCAATTTGACATGGTACTGAGAAGATGGCGTCTTGCATGGCGTCCAGAAAGTGCTGTCCCGTTAAGCAACAAATGTTCAAACTACGTAATACCTGAGATGCTTTTTTTCACGTAATACACATTAGTTTTGTTTGTATGTACACTTAGGCCTGAAAATATTAATTCCAAACTTTTAAATGGTTCGAGTCTTAATGATGATACACGACTGTTTGTTATTTTAATATTTGTGTTTGCTATTCCACACATCTATTGATGGATATACGAATCCTTTATTCGTTCTCTCGCTTATGTGTCTAATTTTGAGGAAGACTTGCTACTAATAACATTTACATTAGCTCTCTTCTCTTTCTTCTTCATCTTGCATTTTTTTTCCTTTGGAACGCCATTAGCTTGTCCTTCCTCCTCTTACCGAAGTTTCGACAATCGAGGCGCCACATGGGATGTAGACAAATTACGAACGAATTACAATCTATTAAAGTATAAAAGCGGGAAATGACATGCAGACGGTCGTGCTGGGACCCCATTCTCGAAATCGTGCCACAATCGTGGCATGCCACTTTCAGTAGTTTCGGTTACCCACTGTGACGGCGCTGTCTGCCGATTATGACGACGAAGTAGGACTGAGTAAAACCATCAAAGTAATTTATTCTCTTTTGAGAGTTATCAGCGCATATTTTTGCAAATTTTGAATTTGACACCAAGCAGCAAAAAATAAGTCATAAAATATTTATAATACTGTAATTTGTAGTGGGGTGTTAATTCGATTACCCACTTCATTATAAACTACTGTATTACAAATAATTAGTGTCCAATGTTTCCTTATTAGCCATTTTAAAGTTCATTATATTATTACTTTCAACTACTTTACTCCAAAATGTACAAGTGTTCGCAATAAAACGATGATGACCATGTGATAACTCTTCAAGTAAGCATAAAATACTTAGATCCGGCACATCTCCTGATTGGAGGAGTCTGCCATAAGGAAAGGAAGGAAGGGAAAATACCTAAATGGTACTACTCAATCGTGAGACTTACCGAACGGCGTTCACAGCGTCATCACGGTGATAACCGAAACTCCTGAAAGTGGTATGCCAGAATTGTGGTACGATTTCGAGAATAAGGTCCATGGTCATAGGGCTACTTAGCTTATCTAGCCTATTGAGATATCTTGATGGCCTATAGGTCATTCTTAAAAGTTTCTTCTGGAAAGGACAAGATGAGTAGATGCCCCGTATCCCAATCCACATGATTTCCTTAGGGATAAGGAGAAAGTATTCTGGTAACTATTTATCATGTCTCTCTCTCTCTCTCTCTCTCTCTCTCTCTCTCTCTCTCTCTTCCTCACACACACACACACACACACACAGCTCCCGGAGGCCACGGTGTCGACTTCCCGGGAGAATTCACTCTGTTTCCGATAAAGCGCAGGCGCAAGCTCAGTTCACTATATATGCATGCTTGTCCTGCTAGCTACCTGACTGCAATCAGCATAGGAACAAGCTTTTCACGTATGAGTGTGTTTTACGTGACCCTGCGACCACACCAGCTTAACCCCACTTACCCCTCGACTGCTCGAGCCAAGGATTTAACCGTAGTTTCTCTCCGACCAGACGTAACCCTTCTTCCTGATTAAATGACTGAATAGTTGGCCAGCATTCATATGGCCAAAGTCAATCTGGGATCTTAACCAGGTCCATCGAAGCTCGGCACCGTTGAATAACTACGGAAGATACTTGGAAAGTATGGAGAACCGTCTAGAGGTATTGGGAGCTGATCCTGTTCTACTCGGTGGATGAAAAAGCGATGAATCTCACGCGAAAGAATAGTTTGTGGACGTTGAGGTGGTGGTAAAGTATGTCTCTGGAAAGTGGCACTGGAGGTGACACACACTATCGTGTGTGCGACCCCCCGACGTATAAGATGAAAGAGTAGGGCTTAATCAGTTAGTCGATAGGCAAATTGGCTTAGAGGCGCCCCTAAGGGTGGTTTGCAGAAGTCAACCCCGTGCGTCGGCCGGCAGCCGTGTATATTTGCTGAGCTCGTCTCGCGAGTACCGAAGAACCGAAAACGTTGGAAAGTCGGCTTCCGGTTGCGGATTTGAATGTGTTCACCGGTGAAAGGATAGTCACATTCCTTACCCACGAAAAGCACCCTTCGAAGAATCACGTGAGCGACAAGACAGCGAAGACTCGAAGCTTTTATATATTATTCCCGCGAACTTTGCCCGTACCGACTGCCGCAGTCTCCTGACGCAGACTCCTGTTCTCCACTTTGCCGCTTCTCCACTACCGAATGAAGGAGACGCGTTTCCTGAACTTTGATCAGCTGCACTTTGATCTCTCTTAAGCGATTTGACTGTTGCGACCGATGCGAGCCACATCGTCCTCATCCTCGTCCCAATTCTCCTGGTCCTCGTTACCGACGTACAACTATCGAAGCCTATCGAAGCCTATCGAAGCCTCTCGAAGTGGGGGCGCCACTTGGGCAAGCAGGTGCTCCAGGACATCAGGACATCAGGACATCAGGACATCAGGACATCAGGACATCCTAGATACTGCAACATAGCAGCAAGGACTTCATCGTTGTAGAATGTCCAGCTGATCGGTAACGTACAAGATTTTCAAATGTCCAGGAAGTAATGGCAACCTGCTCCACCTAGACATCTGGCACGTAGCAGCATGTTAACAGCAACAATGACCCTTGACTTTCAGGCATGTCGAGGAGACACTCTCTAGTGATCCTGTGCTGCTATCTCTACACGCTACTCGACATGGCGGCTTTACACTTCCCGTAAGTAATCAGGAAGCATGGACCGTCGACCCTCGACCGTCTGTGTACTCCCAGTAGTAGGTTTAACGCGAGAGCACGCAGGGCTGCCAACTCCTAAGTAGCGGCGCCGGCCACTGCCTCTCGCGTCCAGTTTCAGTTTCGAGCGTCTATCGATCGTCTCGAAACGAGAGAGAGAGAGAGAGAGAGAGAGAGAGAGAGAGAGAGAGAGGGAGAGAGAGAGAGGGAGAGAGAGAGAGAGAGAGCGTAGATTGAGGACAGGAGAGAATGAGAGAGAATTTACGAGAAGTAAGAAGGAATTAGAAACGCTCTGGAAGGTGTGTGTGGCGCTGAGGTCAAGCCGGGAGCATATTAAAATATAATATGTCGCCGGAGTGACTTAAGTCTATGCAAAGCGCGAAAACCTATTATGGCTTCGGCGATATTGCTGTTTCATCGAAATCGCTAATTTGCGACGGGTCGTCGGTGCGAGAAGCGGATCGGAGTGGACGGCGAGGAGCCGGCAAAGGACGTCAGGAAAAGCTCGGAAGGGAGGAGAGGACGTTCGCGTTTATGCTACTTTATTAATGTTCACTGATTTTCTCAGGGAGGTCGAGCTGGAGGAATACCACAGGAAGGAAGCTTCACTTTCGCTTAGGGACATTTTGCCACTGAATCCGAAGCAGTACGACAAGCACAGAGCGCCTAAATACCTGGGCCAACCGACGATCGTTTACTTCCACGTGACAGTCCTAAGTCTCGACTCCATTAACGAGGAGTCCATGGTAAGCGAATTCTTCGGAGCTACCGGCAATTAACTAAATTAATCTAAACTGCTTTCAATCATCAAAGTGCTCCAACCAAAGGGTTTGATCTACGCGCAGTGCGCACTCTCTCCTCCATTACGTTCTACTTTCCCTTGGTTGCAGACGTACGTCGCCGATATATTTTTAGCTCAAAGCTGGCGCGACTCGAGACTGAGATTGCCGGAAAACATGTCCGAGGAATACAGGATACTTGACGTTGATTGGCTGCACAACATTTGGAGACCCGATTGCTTCTTTAAAAACGCGAAAAAGGTCACTTTCCACGAGATGTCGATACCCAATCATTACCTATGGCTCTATCACGACAAGACCTTACTCTACATGTCCAAGTGAGTGCGTCGCTTCCGGTCGATGCAGCTGTACTAAAAAGCTCTGTAAAAGCTCATATTCAATTATTTATTACAGACTGACTCTGGTTCTCTCTTGCGCAATGAAGTTCGAGTCTTATCCTCACGATACTCAAATTTGCTCAATGATGATAGAAAGCCGTATGTACAGCTCCGATAATAAGCTCCAAATTGGGTAGACGATCCTGGTAGCATATCAATCCCCGTTGGCATCGATCGCTCTCATTTTAAATCAAAGTAGAACTCACAGTGCTTTTTCGCAGCGATCTTCTCGATATCCATTGTAGCTCCGTGTCAATTTTAGGATTTTAGGATTTTAGGATTTTAGGATTTTAGGATTGACCTGGCTGCCGCTACCCAAGCTCGACTAAACAATCAGATCTTAATAATATCTGAATAGCTTATGAAAAGAAGTCTTTCAGTATCACACACTACCCAGGATCTAGTTTTCGTATGGAACATGACGGATCCTTTGGTGGTAAATCCTGAGATTGAACTTCCGCAGCTCGATATCTCGAACAATTACACGACGGATTGCACCATCGAATATTCGACTGGCAACTTCACCTGCATCCAGATCGTCTTCAATCTACGCAGAAGATTAGGCTACCATCTTTTCCACACGTACATTCCCTCGGCACTGATCGTTGTCATGTCCTGGATTGCATTTTGGATAAAACCCGAAGCTATCCCAGCCAGGGTCACGCTAGGCGTTACCTCGTTACTGACACTAGGTTGGTCCACATCGCAGAATCACAATATATTCTAAGAACTGATCGTAAGAATCTTTATTGATCGTACTAAAATTGCAGCAACGCAAAATACCCAGTCCCAGCAATCGCTGCCACCAGTGTCCTACGTGAAAGCCATCGACGTCTGGATGTCGTCCTGTAGCGTCTTCGTCTTTCTGTCGCTCATGGAATTCGCTGTGGTTAATAATTATATGGGGCCGATAGCCACCAAAGCCATGAAAGGATATTCGGACGAGGATTTACGCGAGGCAATAGACGAATTCAAGGTGGGTTCTTCATTGTAATTATTATCATTGAAATATTATTATGTGGAAAATACGCACATTATGCGTATACCGTGATTATATAGATAAGATCCGATAACGGCAGTCATGAGTATCGATGACAGTTGCCGTTGCTCACCTTTATTTGCAATCAGAACTTGTGCCAGAGCTTTTGTGACGATCAGCTCTTGCGAGAATAATTCAATTCGAAAATCGCATTATTTCTCACGTAGCTGGACCAGCCAACGGTGTCAGTTTCATGCAACTTTGTAGATACGTACGGCTACCGGTGCCTATACCGATTTAGACATTCGATCGTTCCCGATAATACGTAATTACGCGGCCATGTTGATACGAATTCCTGGTTGAGCAGGCAACTGTCAAATATTAGCACTTGGATTACCGAGTTCGCATTCTGCCTACTGCATTCCCGTCCAGCACCATTCGCATCTCGTATATCCTCCTGTTTATCGTGCCACCTATACAGTTCAATTATTTGCGTGACTATCTAAACAACCAGCTCCCCGTATATTTACTCTGTGCACATCTAGAGAAACGAAAGAGGCAGCCATTAGTTGTAGCACTGCGTCCGAAATGCATGACGCATCGTAAGAAGGGCAGGCCGGCCCGACCCCGAACAGTCGTATTCGAATATTCTGCGAAATAATGTTATTTAATGAAATTATTATTCTTATCACGCAGACGCCGATGCGACCAGATTCCGAAAGAAGTCGAAGTCCCGTCAGGGTGCCAACCGTCCAATACGACACTTGCTGCCAGGGTAGAGCGACCGCCATTTATATAGACAAAGTCTCGAGATTCTTCTTTCCTTTTTCCTTCTTCATCTTGAACGTCGTGTACTGGAGCACCTTCCTTTAAGTAAGAGCAGCGCCGAGGAGTCGGGGGGGG